ATCATTTCGGGACTCTTCTTTCAAAGCACAGCATGCTTCCACGTGACCTTGTTTTTGTTCAGCAGTCAGCAGTCGTGGCACGAATTTCGCAGCCACCCTTTTCATTCCCAAATCTTCTGTCAAAATTCGCTGAACTGAGCTCCAAGTCACTCCCGACAGCTCCACAATTTCTTCAATGGTCCATCGTCGATCTTCCTTGATGATTTCACGAATTTTTTCAACATTTTCATGTGTTCGAGCCATTGCAAAAATGACGATCCCACAAAACAGTTGTCACTATAAACTCTGCCGAAACTAGTCCTTACCTTCTGAAGCAACGGTAGTCGGCTTATCGACTCAGGAATGTTAGCTCTATGCGCTCATACCGGCAAAACGCAGTACTACAAAAGCTCTGCCCACAAAAAAATTAGTTCGGTTTCTTTTGGGTACCCCATCGTACACAACTCAGATAATACACTGAAGTTTCTAATTTGCCAAAAGAGAGCTATGAAATGACATGTCAGTAAATGTGGGTTAACCTTACAATAAAAGTTTGATACTATAAATCCTGGGGTGAACTATCACAAAATACAAAATTCAGTTATGTCCTGAAGTTGTCACATTTTGTTTCATTCAAGGTTAGTTTCCCATTATTTCCAAACACTGAAATATTTTGTTACATCACACTACAAACTACTTATAGCAGGAAATGTCTGCATACTTACCAGAAACCTTAATTTTCTTGACAGTCCTATTTGAATTGTTTGCTATGTGGACATTGACAGCAATGTTCTCACCATGGTGATACAACTGTCACACAACAGAGTTAGTATCATCAGAAACAAGACACAGTGCCATATTATATTACATTAATCTTCCATTTTAATTTGACATGTCTGAACCTAGCACATAGATTTAGAGTTCTGATGATGCTGGTATTCCTTCATTTACACTACAAGGGAGCATTTTACTCTCTCAAACATGTTGTATATATGAGAAAGTACTGTGATCATGAAAAAAATGATTTTGAGATTCTGAAGAATTTACATGATGATTACAAGGAAATGGTTTTTGGTATGCTGTTTGTGTATTTGTGTGTATGTGGATTATATATATGTACGGTTATAATTTTCAGAACATAACACAAACACTCTCGGCCAGTTACACAGTCTAACTCTGAGTGGTATACGGCAAGAACGTCATTATAATAATTAAATTCTATTCAATTCGTGTTTATTTACGTGCAAACTTAACAGCACAGAGGCCAATAACAAAGTTAGCACGAGTACATAGAAATACAGAAATAATTAAAAAACAAAATACAAATAAGACAGCCTATATAATGGCAATAAATTAATAATAATTCCAAGAAAAATTAAAATTAGCATTAGCAGGTGAGAAAAATAAGTACATTTTGAATGGTTATTCCATTATGTGGTGAGAAAGGACAATACACATACATACACACATAGAAGTTAATAATAACACGTCAGTTAATAACAATAATAATAACCGTATAAAAACTGCTGGCATGTCAGATTCCTAACATACACGGAAAAATCTCACTCAGAATGAGTGCTGCTTTCAGACACATCTTCAGAGATTCCTAATTAGGTGCAACTCTTTTCAATACCTTCTGCCACTGAATGTACATGCTATTTTATTTCCAAGCTATTTACAGCAGGTGGGTCTAAAAAAGTCCACTGCATGACATTACATGAAGTTCAGTTAAGTAGCTTATTTCTTTGTGCACTGCATAATGTAACTACTGAACAGGAAGTGAAAATGTTTCTGTGATTGTGCTACATGCTGCTAAGTTAAAAAGAATTTCAATTCTAATTATGGTAGTGAACACTGAACACAAAGCTCAGAGTAATATTATCTCTGTGAAGTAGGCAACTTGCCAAAGACTAAAATAGTATGGATAGTATGACTGATTTCTTCGACACTCTTCACCATTTTAAAGAAATACAATCAACTGTTCTACATGTGGAAGACCAGTGAACAGAAAAGAAAATGCATAACACAGAGAATGAAGATTTGGAAACTGCACTCTTTCAGTGGTTTTGCCTGCTATACTAGCTGATGGAATAATGGTCAAGGCAAAAGCCAGCCATTTCACAGCACACTTAAAATGTGAATACTTTCAGTGTTCTGAAGGAAGACTTTACTATTTCAAAGCCAGTATGCATACAGTATCACATGATTCTTCCAAGATTAGAACAGGCGCAAAACACAGTGCACATGCAGCATGACTTTAACATTATGTATTGTGGAAGTAAAGCAAATAATGGGCAGGGCCTCTGGTTGTAATGATGGCTCCTAATAAGCAGTTAGTCACAAGCACAAGATCGTATGTAAGTACAAGAAAATTTCAAGTTCTCTGTTATTATTTTCATATCTTCACAATAACCACTTCAGAAAGAGTAAATACTGCTATATTCCCATTAATTCTTTTGAACCTCAGTGCTCTGTTGCGATATAAAGAATCCTAAGTTGGGAGATGGGCTAGAAGATTATATACTTCAATCATTTTTTTGGAAATTACGAGTATTTACTAGAACAAGCATTTTATGAACTTTTACACATTCTAATTCTATCAAGGTTGCACCATATTTAAGAGGGCCTACACCATCTTCGGGGCACGTGGTAGCGTAGCTGGTTGAGGCACTATGTTACAAGCTGGAAGGTCGCGGTTCAAGTCCCGATGAGGTCATTGGATTTTTTTTTTTCAATTGACCTGATCCTTCCAACCACACTATGGCCCTAGGATCGACTCAGCCTCTAACAGAAATGAGTACCAGGAATTAATTACATAATTTTCCTGGGGAATAAAGCGCGGCCGGCACGTAAGGCTGACAACCTTACAGCCATCTTTGAGCCGACTGTCTAGATAATGTGGGACCCTTAACATCTCACAACCCTATGGGCCTTCACAGCCTGTTACATGGATAGCTTTACTTTTTTTTTTTTTTACTTACACCATCTTCTATTAGTAGCTTTTGAACAAAGAACAGAGCCACACAATTATGGAACGAGTGTAAAGAACAAGAGCTTGCTGAAAATTTATGAGAGAATGAACAGAAACCTGCCCTCGGACAATCAGGGTTCAATACAAGTCATACTGAGGTGCACCTTTCTGGACCTCTCTCCGTGCTGTTCTTATATCTTTCAACCTCAGATGAAAGTATTCAGGGAATTCTCAAGTGCAGAAGGTTATGTGCAACTGGCTTTTCAAATGGCAGAGAGAGAAATTAAACGAGAAAGGAAAGAGTGCGCAATTAGTTGATGTTTCAGTGCTTCCAGTGATTGGGTGTGACTGAACCAAGTAATTCTCTGAGAAATTCACAGTTAGCTTACCTCCTTGTCAAGTGAGGCCTCTAGGTGCAGTTTGTTGGGACTCATCATGAACTCCTTGCTCACCTCTACAGACGGTTGCTCTCCCTGCTTACTCGGTGCATACATAATCTTTCTGATTGCCAGGCGAACTGAATTCCTGTCATAGCATTAGAACAAATGAGTGTTTAACATTGTAAACTTATACAGTACATACACAAGACCACTTGGAGTGCCATCCAAACGTCCAGTGGAAGGAGTCTATTATTGTACCAGTTCACAATAAGGGTGATAAAACTGACTGTAGTAATTATCAAGGGATATCACTGCTATCAACTTAACCCTTCCGCACCGACATCGGTGTCCTTCACCGACTCTTTAAATAATCGTATGCTACCGACATCTGTGCAGTGCACCGACCTGCGCAGTGTTAGCTTTGAAGGACGTTGCTGACAAAACGAGGAAAGATATTCCAATTTTCTTTTCAGGAGTACATAGATTAAGGTTTTGTCTTTCAATTGGTATATGAGTTATTTATTATGGACGAATTTTTAGCACGGTATTTTTATTTTTTATCGTTAGTGTAATAGTTCGTACTTTGGTCTCATTGCGCCTAGATTGCATTCAAATTTTTCATATTCTAAGTAAGGAAAATGTATAAAACTATATATCTTTCGACTCTGTGGTCTTTGCTTGTCTATATGAGTCACTCACTGAAACCCCAGACGAAGGTTTTCCTTGAGTGGGTTCCTGTACAGTCTGCTGATACAATGAAGTAGTCAAACAAGAGGGTCCTTTTTTCTTGGAACCAAATGCAACCTAAGAAAACAAACTTACGAATGATACAGAAATCTATGATGTCATAACACTTTCTTCTCTCAGTCGCGCCATAACCATGGCCTCTACAAGTAGGAAAGTTTTACAGGACGATGAACTAGATGAGCTCCTTGCTCACGACTCGGAAGTTAGTGAGTTCGAATATTCAGATAGTAGTGAAAACAGTGATAATGAAATTGAAGATCAGGCTGTAGTTGATGCTATCCAAGATCATAGTATTGAAGATGACGACGAAATAGTGGCGAGGGTTCCAGTGGCGGATTCAGACGAGAGTTATTTTTGGCAAAATATG